CCATGAATATGAGGCACATTTCCAAGCCTCCATTGGTGCCTATGAACACTTCCTCTGACTTTCTACCAGCCGTATGACTTTTGTCAAGGAAAGAAAGAATTAAATTCTCCCTTCCTTTGAGAGAGGGGGGGGGGACAACATCCTGAGACAAGGACCACAATGTACTCCCTAATCCCATGTTGTTAGTGTGCTGCTAAATGTATCACAGTGCTTAATTTCAACACCCGGAAATTATGTAGCAGACCAGCATAATCAGCAATTAAAAACAGATCAGGTGAAGAATTTGAGTGCATGGCGACACTCAGGGGTTGCAAAATTGGGTGGAGGGAGACATGTGTACCCCATCCCACTCTTTCAGTCTCAAGGCTTAGCATGGCTACTACTTTACCCAACCCATGGCACAACTATAATTCACACAACACCACATTTAGTTTGGCCAGCAATTCATATATACACCCCTCTCCCACAACATGGCTGGAACATGAAAAAGAGCAATCCATGCTAGGAAACATTTGTTGTGATTCTAGCCAGTTCAAAAAAGAAAACAAAAAGAGCTATCAAATAGGGTTGCATGCATACAGCCTTCAGCATAGAGCACCCACCTCACTTGTGACATTATGGCCACAATTCTACTTCGCACTTGTGGGAAATATGTCACAGCCAGCCTAATGTATGAGAGGCAGTGGCAATGAAGGCTGCTTCCTCTGTGTACAACAACCACCATTGGAGCAGTCAGGTACAATTCTGTCTCCCTGGTCACTGATCAGTCTCATTTTGGTTGCCCACTTGCGCTTGACCAGTGACTGAGGAAACAGAGCTGTTCCTGTTATCCCTCCTATCATCATTGTGTGATGGGGCTTTGTGGGAGAAGGTACTGAATACTTCCTTTTGCAAGGACCAAAAAAGTACACATGCACATGTAACACGCAGTGCCACCTATGCCTGTCACGAACAGGATGCTAGTTTGTATCGGTGATGGAGTGGAGGTGGAACACACTTCTGGTACTCTGTTTCACAAAAAGAATTGCAAACCCAGTAAATGTATGAATCCATCTAAAGTTATGATAAGCAAAACAGAGCCGTGGTTGTGTAGATCTGTAATATGTGTGGATTGCAACTGCTAGTGAATTACAGTGTCTTGTGTTGCAATGGCTAGCTGAACCTTAATCTTTTTTAAATTGTTATCCATATTAAAACAGGAGGATAAAAGTTAAAACGATACATGTCCTCTTGCTCTAAAACATCTAAGAAACTTTGAAACCAAGTGCTTTCCCCCCCTCCCCCACCTTTATTTTTTTGCTGAACACATTTAAAAAAATCTACAACACTACAATGGAACTGGACCACTGAGCAACAACAGACTATGCCAGTACATTACACTGTGCTATTTACACTAAAATGGATTGGTATGTATACATCATACATTACATTACATATTATTTTGTCTCATACTCTTGAACAGCTCATACCACTGATTTTTTAAAATCAGTCCAGTATATGGATACAATCCTACACACAGTTAAGCATACTTGAACTTATTGAAATCTATGGCTTTCAGCATCGCTAACAGCTGGATTGTAGCTTTTCACTATATATGGTTTTTGTTTTTAGTTTATACGGTCTTTGGCCTGTGTTTGATTTGCTTGCAGACCCGAATTTTCTTTTTCTATGTTTATTAACAGTTGTCAATGTGGGTAAGTAAGTCCCAATCCTTTCTTCCATTAGGAAAGAATTTCCATTCTTCTACAGTTTTTTCTCTAAAAAAATGTCTTTTCTTTTCTTCAAAATACTAAACAGGTTTTCTTCCATCAGAAAGATGTCAATGAAATATTGGGTTTTAAAAATCTGTTTAGTAGGAAAGAAACATTTGAACTACTGTATATTGCTGGATACTAGTACAACAACATCCTGCGTATCCTATCATTTTTTCTAATTCGTTGTATGAAGTGTCATATGAAGCATTTTCATTAGGAGGAGAAATGATAAATGGATTATGACCTGCACTGCACATTGGCTTATCTTAAAAGATTTCTCATAAGTTTTGAAAACACATCTTCCTTTCTCCCATTTATAACAACGACAGAGGGATGACGATCCAGTCTTTAAGACTTTTTTGAATGCCACAAAAAAGACATTTTGTTGGTCTTCAAAGCTCCTCCATCTATTTGCTACTTTAATCTATAAAGTGCTCAGTATCAGAAGGAAAGTTACAGAGTGATGTTGACTGAGGCCCTGCAACAGATATGTGGCTGAGTTCTATTGCTACTCTCCATTGCCTGATCTGACTCCTGACTCCCATCTTCAAATCCAGCTAGCTGGATGTAGGGATGGATTTCTGTGGTGAGCAGGGCATGGAAGGGTAACACAGACCCCTTCCACACAGCAGAATAAAATCCCAAATTTTCTGCTTTGAACTGGAATATATGTCCGTCCACATATTACCCAGTTCAAAGCAGATATTGTGGGATTTTCTGTCTTGATATTTTGAGTTATATGGCTGTGTGGAAGGGCCCACATCCAGCCCTCTCCTGCCAGAGATTAGGGACTCATTGGGGCAACTTGCCAGCCTACTGTCACTTGCTGACATGAGGGGCTGGGTGCATCACCCTTCAGCACCCCTCTCTCCAGCACTGCAGAACTGTCTCAGTGCAAGTGGGCTGGATTTTAAGGTGGGGTTGGTAGCTTGGTCTTTGAGAAGATTATGAGCTGTACATCCTGTCCATGCATGCTAAGGCACCAACCACTGAACTGAGCACCAGAACACCACTATTCAGTTATAGATGGGTCTACAGAAACATGTGTTTGTTTCCTTTGTAGTAAACTCTCCCCACACAGACTAAAGTAAACAAAGATAACAAGAAATCAGAGTAAGAGGTGCTGGTAGCAAAGCAATACAGTAGTAGACAGTAAGATCTAGCTGTCTTACATGAATGATCTTTGTGTAAACTGTATCACAAAGATCATTCATGTAAGACAGCTAGATTTTGAAGAGCTCTCAGGATCTCCTCCAAAAGTCTTCATAAAACAGAAATAAATAGGTGTAAATAAATAAATATGCTGTAGCTATGATAGGTCTTCCTGGCCTTATCCAGAAGCATGTCTTTCTCTCTATATATGTTCTTCAAGAGAGAAGGTAGCAAAAGCAACCTCTGAAGCAGTTCTGAAAAGCCAACTATTCCTCCTGTATTTCTTGTTAAAGAGAAATATGTAGCATGTAGAGCTGTGCCTACTTGAAATATCTTGAGCAGCCTACTTACAGCTAAGCTGTTGGGCTTCCCTCAGATTCTTTCAGATAATATTGTCTTAAATCATACACAGTCTATTCTAGACCTGAGATTGTTGCTAAAGATTATTTTAAAGCAAATAAAATTTATTCAATATAAGCTTATATGCATGAGTCAATTAACCCAATGTCCCAATGCTTCTCATGCAGGACAACAAGGGGAACCTTTGTAAATGACAGTGTTTCATTGTATTCACTAGTGAAAAAAAAACTGTGTTAAACTAATGTTTCCAACTCTTTTATTCCCCTCCTCTATCTTTGTTTACAGTAACACAGAACACAGGAGCACCGAGGCATAAAATAAGAAAAGTCCCCAATAGTGCATCTAAATACGATTATGTTTTCAGACCCTATTCTCCTTTTGCTCTAAGCAATTGATTTATACAACTACTTTTATGTCTTCTTTTCATCAATCCAGGCTATCCTTTTTCTTTGCACAAGGCACATCAAGTGCTCTTGACAAATTGCTGTATGTTGTGTCTTGTTCATGTGACTTAACATCTACCAGTCCACAAGAGCACTCTTCACTGCTTTAAAATGTGTGTACATCAAACTGCACATATGCCAGCAACAAACAGTTTGCTCTCATGTTCACAAGCTCATCAATTCCATTTGGCAAAAAGAGCTGTTTAGTATCTCCTTAGGTGCATGAATCAGCTCTAACTTCTAGGTAGGATACAAAGATATATGGAATGGTGATGATAATGATGGTGAATGCTACTTCTGTTCTCAAGAGGGTCCTTTTTCTGTTGGGAGGATGACTCTGTTTGTGAAAACTACTTCATTCTAAATTTCAGGGATTCCAGATTTCTCCTCGATACATCCTCTTTGTGTGGCATTTTTTAGGATGTTGGAGGATCTCCTCTTGTGAGAAAGGCACAGAGATTTTCCCTTCTGTTGACCCAGCCTACATCTCAAGCCAACCAATAATTGGCATGGCACTTTCAGTCCTTAACTTGCCATATTTTATATAGCAACCCTGTAAAGAGGACTCAATTAAGACATGCGGAAACACTAAACTATGTCACATTAAAGAAACCCCACAGCATAATCGCAAAAATCATAGTCATTAAGTATATTTTTGTCACACTTGAATAATATCTGCTTTAGAGTAATTGTAACTATGTTGTTACAGAGTCTCTCTTAACCTAAAATACCTTAAACTATAGTTAACTTAGAGCCCTTCCAGACAGGCCCTGTATTCCAGAATCTGATTTTCTGCTTTAAACTGGATTATATGAGTCCTCACTGCCAGATAATCTGGGATAAACAAAAAACCTGGGATCAGATCCTGAGATATTGAACCTGTCTGGAAGGTACTTTATTCTGTGCAGAAATCCAGCAATGCTTGTAAGGCAAGACAGTTAATTTACCAAAAGTTATATTATATATTCCTAGAAGTTCTATTTTAGGGCTTCCCCTTATATTTTAGATGGATATCTGAGAATTTAAGATGTTCATCTAGTTGTCATCTTTTGTTGATTGTGCACAGGTATCTCACTGCTGAAATGGCCCCTTTTTCCTATGAGAAAGGAACCTATTCTTCTTAGACCTCAGAACGTGATGGAGAATAGAAATGGAAATTGTGAGGGATTCCCCCAAATTAATGCATGAATTTCACCCATTCCCCACACCTTCCTCCATGATTACCTATAAGAGAAGGTGAGTGGAAATGCACCACAGCATAAAGTAACAGAAAACAAATACAGAAATAAGATTTTTAAAAAAAGTCAAAAAAGAACTCTACAGCGGGTTATAAAAGTTGTTCCAAATCCTTTTTAAAACTGAATACTGAGAATTTAAGTGACTAGGAGGAAAAGAATGCTACACTTTTAAGACATACAATGTTGTTTTACCCATACTAAATAAACAGATAGATCTTTTTTATGTCAAACTGGCATAAGAATTTAAACAAAGCTCAAATTCACCAGAGATACCCATGCAGTTTAAGCAGGACACACTGTATTACAATATGGCTCAGATTGACTTCTGGTTGACTTTGGCTCTGAACCCTCAATAGAAAGCTCTTGGCTTCTTGCATCTCATTATGTCCAATACTCACTTTCCCTGTGACTGCGACCCTTACCTATAAAGTAGAACAGCTCTCGAGCCTTTTTGAAATTACTGCTACGTACATCCTGACCTATGAAGAACTTCCCAAGTCAGGATTATAGCTGCACGTTCTAGGTTCATACAAGTCAAGTTCACAGTGAACAGGCTAAAGTGAGGTAGACGTGAAGCAAGCCCTGCTACTTTTTTTGTCACCATAAAACCCAAACAAACATATGACCATTTCAATTAAGAACATTAAGAGAGAGAATAACATTCTTTGCAGTCTTTAGTGTTATCACAGTTATAAAAAATTTAAAAAATCAAATATCACTGTCTGTATCCTATTAGTAGACCAAACAAAGTATGGACTCATTGCATTACTTGTTAGAACTATCAATAATACTCAGACCCATAAGAAAAAATTGCTACATCTTTTGTTAAAGCACCTTTGCTTGTAAGCATAAGAGAGGATATTATTCTTTTTCACAGGGTGCATCCAAATATTTCTTCCCTCCCAAAAAGAAGCTTTCTCTTAGGGTAAGAGTTTTTCCATCAGTGGAAGAAAAAGAAAACCTTTTCTGTTCAGTTAAATCAGTCATTCACCTTTCTTTGCCTGATCCAGTATACAAAGAAGCTCCCATCTTGTATTATTGGAGGAGACATGCTGAAAGATGTTACATAAAAGTGACATTATCTTACATTTCATTGCCCTGTTAAGGGTTCTCAAATGGCATGTGCTCTGATATGAATGCATTTGGGCCAGCTCACACAAAAGGTTTTCATGTAGCTTACACTGTGTGAATCCCAATCTGAAAACCCCAGTGATGATATAAACATGGCAAATATGTAGGTACATCATATTCAGTTTCTGTCTCAAAAAGAAACCACACAGTTATACTCAGCAGAACATGCTCTTATGGTCATGGATATAGTCAGATAAGGAAAAATGTATGACTTGCACAATGGATGCTTACAATGGGTCTGCCTAAAGCCCCATCGACACTGGCATTATCATGCAGATTGAACTGCATTATATGGTTAGTGTAGACTCATGTTACCCAGTTTAACTGCATTGAACTGGATTATATGCCTCTACAGTGACCATATAATGCAGTTCAATCTGCGTTATAACGCCAGTGTCAATGGGCCTTAGTCTATGCTTGTGCTGTCCTATGTTTTCCCCCCCATAAATCCTGGGGAATTTATTAAGATGTTTGATTTGACCTCTTCTTATCTCAGTTTTCATCATCATTTCTACATTTCTGTAATAACACATTAGAACCAAGAGTTCATAGAGCTCAACGGTTGTTATGGATTTTGCTATTTTGTGTGTGTGTGTGTGTGTGTGTATGTGTGTGTGTGGCCACACCTCCTCCCCACAGTATTGATACAGATGCCTTCAATTAGCATCTAATTGCCCCAAGTTCTTTCCTCAAATGTGTTATGGAAAATTTTGTTCTGTTGTTGAGGTGTTTTATGTATATGATATAGAAAGCTAGATTTGATATTTGCAAGCTTCGTTTTAGTTTTTTTAGCATTCTGTTTATTTTTGCATGTCTGTGCCTTCAGGTAAATCTATGGTGATCCTATGAATTTCATGGGGCTTTAGAAGGCAAGGAATAGAGGTTGTTTTGCCTGTTCCTTCCTCTGAAATATAGCTGACTGAACCTCGTAATTCATTGGCAGCCTAGCTTCCAAAAGCAAACAGGATCTCGTGCCTTTAAGGTATTTACGCCCTTTGTTTTAGCATGTACAAAATCCAAGAACAAGCAGAGAGCTAAAAGAGATAAGCCAAAATCTTGTGCGGTATATGTTTTCAGACTTCAGGCATAGCAAAGAAAATACTGTTTATATAACCAGTATCTCTGGAAGGAAGTTCCAGACAGGTGTTTATCTGATTTTTGACAGATAATATTTGGATGTGAAAGGCCTATCTCTCTTTATACATACAATGAGCGTTCTCTCCTTCACCTGCAGTCTGAAATCTTGCAGCTCAGCAACAGATACATAATATGGGATGTTTGGTAGTATTCAACAGCAAGGCCATACATATTTACTGGTGCATGAATGTCTGCTTATACAAATAGTGATATATCTAAATAACATGATTAGAAGGGCAAATAAAGATAAAAGAAGTTCTATGAAATGATGTAAAATGAGAAAAGAATGGGATTGTGCCAAGTATCTTCTTGACTGAGTAAATTCGACCTTAATTCAACAGTTATTCACGTGCCATGTATGTGTATATGTTTGTAATGTGCATTGTGGGTGTACTACAATTTTAAAATTAAAATCTATTTAAAAACCATATTTATTCACATGCTTAAAATTAAGCATGCAATTACTTTATGTGCTTAAGGAGAGTACAGCCATGGTATTGAGTTATTATATCCTTTCTTGGATGCTTCTTTAAATAACGTATGTGTCTATTATAATTTGACTTATATGTACTCTGTTTTATGGTTCTATGGTGTTGCTGATACTTTCCAACCCACCACAGTTTATTCATTGATAGCTCAGTTTAGACAATCTTGTCCAGCTCCATAATTTATGAACTCTGGGGTTAAGCACTTCTCTGCTCATTTTGAGCACTGGTATTGGTGTGCAAATCTTGGCAATTGGATCAATTTCATACCACTTCAATTGTCCTGGCTCCATCCTAGGGAATCACGGGATTTGTAAAGAGCGCTGATGCTCTCTAATGTTCAAGGGAGTGCACTAGGGAATTCTAAATCCATCACTAGATCACACATGCCAGGATTCCATAGGATGAGGCAATGGAAGTTATAAAGTGGAATCAAAATGGGTTGCTGTGAGTGTTCCGCGCTTCACAGCCATGTTCCAGAAGCATTTTCTCCTGACATTTTGCCTGCATCTATGGGAGGCATCTTCAGAGGTTGTGAGGTCTGTTGGAAACTGAGCGAGTGGTTCTGTCTGTCTGTCTATCTATCTATCTATCTATCTATCTATCTATCTATCTATCTATCTATCTATCTATCTGTGGAATGTCCAGGGTGGGAAAAAGAACTCTTGTCTGTTTGAGGCAAGTGTGAATGTTGCAATTGGCCATCTTAATTAGCATTAAATAGCCTTGCAGCTTCAAAGCCTGGCTGCTTCCTGCCTGGAGGAATCATTTGTTGGGAGGTGTTAGTTGGCCCTGATTGGTTCCTGTTTGAAATTCCCCTGTTTTCTGAGTGTTGCTCCTTATTTACTGTCCTGATTCTAGAGGTTTTTTTCTTTAAAAAAAAACTGGTAGTCGGATTTTGTTCATTTTCATGGTTTCCTCCTTTCTGTTGCAATTGTCTACATACTTTTGGTTTTTTATGGCTTCTCTGCGTAGTATGACATGGTGGTTGTTAGAGTGGACCAGAGAGTGTTCAATCAGTTATCATTCCTGGTTTCATGTCTCACAGTTTTCAAAACCAGGATTGTCTGACCTGTCTGCTGAAGACTAAACTCAACATGATGTTAAATGTACATCTACATTTAAAGAGCGGCTGCATGATATGCATGATAATTATTAACATTGCCACAGCCAAAAGGTAAATTTAGCTCCTTTCTTCTCTTCTCCAACCCTGATTAAAAAAAAACAAAAAACCACTCCTTTCAAGTTTACTATTTGCATTGAGTGGGAATTCCTCACATTCACGAATAATTGTTCATATACTGCCTCAGCCAAGCAGCTTCTATGTGTATTTTAATTAAATATATAATACATTTAACACAATGTGTAGTTTGGCCCTGAGACTGCAGTTCAGCTTAAGTGTATGATGATGTATTAAATTTTTCATGCACAGCTACTCAGCTGGCATCTGAGAAGGCTACAAAAATACCTCAAAGTTATGACTGAAATCCAACAAAGAACATGTATCTGCACTCAGTCTCAACCCCCTCAAGTATGCTGTTTGGTAAAATGATAAAGAACATCTACTTAAACGTCGGACTTGTCTAAATGGTTTTTAAAAAATTATTTCAGAGCATGTATTCTAATAAGCTGCTCTTTGGTGATTTTTCTCAGAGACATTTTAAAAATTTGCAGCAAATCCAGAGCAAAGTTGCTGGCATGTACTTTACTTCATTTATTTCCTTATAGTTTCAGGATTGGGTTGTTGTAGGCTTTTTCGGACTATATGGCCATGTTCTCTCCTGACGTTTCGCCTGAATCTATGGCAAGCATCCTCAGAGGTAGTGAGGTCTGTTGGAACTAGGTTTGAGGTGGAGAACTAGGAAATATCACTAGTTGTATATTAGGAACACCTAGCTGTTTTATGGTGTATAGAATCATAAAGTTGGAAGTGACCTCGTGCACCATCCATTCCAGTCCAACCCCCTGCCAAGGGGCAGGAAAATTGCATCCAAAGCACCCCTGGTAGATGGCCATCCAGCCTCTGTTCAAAAGCCTCCAAAGGAGGAGCCTCCACCACAAACCGGGACAGAGAGTTCCACTGCTGAACAGCTCTCGCAGTCAGGAAATTTTTGCTAATGTTCAGGAGGAGGTAAGACCAACTCCTGTATGTCCCCATATTCTATTGCATATTTCCTTAAGTATGGAAGTCAAGTCATGAAGATTGGCACAAGAAATACTCATGTGTGAGAAAGTTCATCCAAATCCATTTTGCAAGAATGAAAGAAGAAAATGGCAGTATGAGTGTTACAATGACAAGAAGTCTAATGAGGAAAACACCGATAAAAGAAGAGGCATAGAATCTCATAAGGTTGCTAAAGATCTATGACACCTCGCAGATGTGGGGCCCTCATGTGCTACAAGTCTTCAAGTCTGTGGTTCAATGAATGGATTTTAATCTCTCACAAAGATCTACTCTGCCTGCAAATTAAGTTGATTAAAACATGGTGTATTGAGTGCTACTTTAAATTCAAGTCACAACCCATGAAATACAGAAGAGCCTTGTGAGCTTTTTTTTTGAGCAGATGCACCAGTGTGGATGCTGAAGTCTCCTTGGGATGAATGTTTTGAGAACTACAGCATATATTGCTTTTCAAAAGAAACATGGAAGACATGAGAACTATACTACTGACGTTAATGGAAATGTAATCCACTCTTCTCCTCTTCCATAACATTTGCAGAATTTAAGACCCAAGGGTCATTTGTCCAAATAACTAAACTGGGGCAGGATCACCTATAATACTCAAATTCTCCCCCAAAATTAGCACATACAATATGTGCCTTGTAGTCAATTCATGTAGGTACAGCACAAGCAGAGCCCAAGATGGAGTAAATGAAGACACAATGGATTTAATCCAGACTTTTAAAAAGGTTAACATAATTGTTATTATCTTCTGTTCAAATAAATTGAGATTAAGTACAATTAACCTGGTCTGATTTGTGTCATATAGATTGCAAAAATCTGTGATAACTTTTTGGATAGGCAATTAGGTTTTACACAGTGGTACAGATAAGAACATTTTGGGATTTCAAAGCAATTAAAACAAATGTAAAAACTTATGAGGCATGACATTTTTTAAAAAATCCACTGGGTTACCCAAATCAGATAACCAATGTTGACTCTGCTCTAAATTACAGATGTTTTCTAAAACTGACTTTTGCCAAAAGCTAGTTAGAAAGGTTATAAAATCCAGCTCAGATTTAAACAGAAGCTCAATTGCTTGGCAACTTTGGTGGTCTTACAGTCTGAGGTACCTCGAGTCCTGTGTGCAGAGTCACCTGCAAGAGGAAGGAAAACAAGAAACAGAAAAATAGCATTAAAATGCAAAGAACCACTTCTAGCTGCAAAGACGAATTAGTAGGAGTAGGAACTTGTTGGCATTGAGGGAGATCCCAGGACCTCAGCTGGTAGGAAGGAAAAGTTACAATCTCTCCATCCCTGTGCACTGAGATGTTTGTAAATAAAAACAAGAAGATGGGCACAAATGTAAGTATATTTTGTGCTTTTGCGTATGTGGTGTGTGTGCATGGATGGATGGATGGATGGATGGATGGATGGATGGATGGATGGATGGATGGATGGATGGATGGATAGATAGATAGATAGATAGATAGATAGATAGATAGATAGATAGATAGATAGATAGATAGATAGATAGATAAGATGTATATGGAAGTATTTCCAGAGGTTGGAATTCTCTTCCCCTCTCCACAATGCCCAAAGCCCCCTCCTCCAAGATTAAAATTTTGGTTGTAATAGTTTTCTCGAAGAACCCTGAAGTATCTGAGGACCCTTCTCTACTCCAGGTGACTAATGCAAAACCCTTCCTGATCCCATTGTCAGACATCTGAATTCAGAGTAAAAGAAAATCAAATTAGATGTGCAAAAAGTGAAAGATATAACTTGAGCAAACTTTAATCTAGGGATTCTCAAACTTTTAAAGCCATGGAGCCCTTTTTGAAGCAAAAGCTATTATGGAACCACAAGAAGGTTTATATCATATCATATCATATCGCATATATATCTGGCATGGGCAAACTTTTGAAGAACAATTTTAACCAACGTAAACTTAACAGTATTTTGGTGGAACACCCCAGAGACCATCCAGTCCAACCCCCTTCTACCATGCAAGAAAAACACAATCAAAGCACCCCCAACAGATGGCCACCCAGACTTCATAATAATAACAGCAGTAATAGGAACAACCACAGAGGCCATCCAGTCCAACCCCCTTCTGCCATTCAGGAAAAGCACAAGCAAAGCAACCCCAACAAATGGCCACCCAGCCTTTGTAGTAATAGTAATAATAATAGTAATAATAATAGAAGAAGAAGAGGAAGAAGAAGAGGAAGAAGAAGAAGAAGGAGAAGAAGAACCCCAGAAGTCATTCAGTTCAGCTCTCTTCTGTCATGCAGGAAAAGTGGCGAGGGAGGTAGGGGGAGGAGCAGGAAGGGAGAGGGAAGGCTTGGAGGGATAGTTTTATGAATCATGCAGGAGTATTTTAGCATTGCCACCAACAAAACCATCACTCTGGTTTATCGTCCACGCTAAGTCCGGCGTCAATCTGACTGGCTAACTTCTGTGACTAATTGTGCTATTTGAGTAAATGTAATTACTTATTTCTTAACTCATTTTTTTCTTGTATACAACTGTCTTGGGATCCACCAGAAAAAAATTTACCTGCACATTTCGGTTGAGGCTTAATGCAGGCATGAAGACACCCTCCACGTTTTCAAATGCCGGAGGACCCTGTTGCTGCCCATTGATGAAAAATGTCAGGGTGTGCTTGTTGAGGTCCAGTAGAACGCCCACAGTTGCACCTTTAGAAACACCCCCTTCTGTCCTATGAATCAAAGAGACAACAACATCTTTGTCAGTGACATCAATTTATGTTGCACAAAGAAGCAAAACCTTTATTACACAGCTTCTCAATCTTTTTTGTCCCATGAACCCCTTTTCCCGTCAGGTGAAAGCCATGTATCCCTTCTCAGAATGTATCAGCAAATGGCCCTCAGCATCGGCATGTCTTCAAATTAAATTTTAGGATTACGCAATATGACATTTTACAACATTATCACGATTTCAATACCTGATAACATAACATGGTGCAATATATGTTTGAACAAATTCTCAAAATATGCAACAACTTTAATGTGATATGAAATTACTACAACAGTACTGCCCCCAGTGGTGCAGTGGGTTAAACCGCTGAGATGCTGAGCTTGTTGACCAAAAGGTTGCAGGGAGTTAGAAAGATTATAAAATCTTCTGCCAACCTAGCACTTTGAAAACATGCAAATGTGAGTAGATCAATAGGTACCGCTCAGGTGGGAAGGTAACGATGCTCCATACAGTCATGCCGGCCACATGACCTTGGAGGTGTCTACAGACAGCACCGGCTCTTCAGCTTAGAAATGGAGATGAGCATCAACCCCCAGAGTCAGACACAGCTGGACTTAATGTCAGGGGACAACCTTTACCTTACTGTAAGTTATTACATATTCCTATTGCATATTGAAATTTCCTTCACTTACAAATGTATGCAATACTTTTATTTCTAATTCAAACTCACAGACCTACTGAAATCTTTCCTTCGACCCCTTGTTAGGAACCCCTGTTTTATTGGATCATCCCTAAAGCATACAATATATCATTCAAAATGTCAAAGTTTCACTGGCTTCTTGAGCAAGTTAAGATGTTAAGCATCACATACAGAAGGAAGTTGATGATGTTAACCACAGAACTATTTTGGATTTTACCATAGCCAGCACAGCTACCCCAATATGTTTCCATCCATTTGTGTTCTATTATTCTTTTTGTTCTTCAGGGGGTTCTTATGAACTGATACGTATAAAAACAATGTAATAGTTGCTAATTGTTACACAGGTATCTGCCCACACTATTTGCCCACAAATTTGAAACTATCAGATTCAAATTTTCCAAAAATTTAAATCTTGGTTATTCCATATTAAATATTTATTTATTTATTTATTTATTTACTGTAGTTTTACCATACTCTGTCTCACCCTGAAGGGGACTCAAGAGTGGTTTCCAGGTTGGCAATAATTCAATGCCACAACAAACATAAACATACAAATATCATATACACCATACATTAAAATTAGTTAAAAATCATAAAATCATTACATATAAGTACATTAAAATAAACTGTTAAAACAACACAAGAATATGACACAGATCTGTTTGTTTACTTTGTTTATCCTGATATATGGACTCATGGCAGCTAACAGCAAACAGAGCAAATGCATTGAGTTTAGCATTGATGAAAAATAGCTGGTGCTTGGATTTAATGTCTACATTAAAATGTAATGCCAGAACTGCAGGATGTCAGGTTTGATTTTTATCAATTTTTCAATGCTTAATATGGTTTGCACTGAATAAGTAAATTATATATGGAAGAATGTTCTCTAATCTCCAAAACCTGTACTATAATCTCCAGCATCGTCAAACTCATGAATGATGGAGAGATCCAGAGAAGCCAGCCTGCTACCTCAGAGCCGAGCATTAGAGCAAATGACACTGCAGACATGTGCTACAAAATCCCAATAGTCCTTTCTCCTTGCAAGTATGGGAAATCACTGGTATAGCTAGGATTGGTGTCACCCAGTGTGGCAACTCATGTATCTCATCCATGGACCTCTTCCCATACCAGACCATACTACGATATTATAGCTGAAATACTCCCCAAAAAACTACAAAACCAGCATCTATAAAAGAAACCAAGAACAATGAAAACTACAGGGTATGCTTGTAGCACAAGTTTTATATTTGAACCATACGATTCAAAGCATTGATCTAATTGAGCAATACTAACAACACTGACTGGAGCACATGTGCATTCGAAATTTCAAAAAGTACATTAGCATAGAGCTTTAATCTTGTAGGTATATTGATATAATACATACAATATGAGGATTTAAAGATCGAACTGCAAACAATCTGGCACAAGTCAGTAAAGGTGGTCCCAGTGGTGATCGGCACACTGGGTGCAGTGCTTAAAGACCTTGGCCTGCACTTAAACACAATTGGCGCTGACAAAATTACCATCTACCAGCTGCTGAAGGACACCTTACCGGGATCTGCATGCATTATTCACTGATACATCACACAGTCCTAGACACTTGGGAAGTGTCTGACGTGTGATCCAGTACAACAGCCAGAAGAGTGATCTTGTCTGCTGTGGACTCATCTTGTTGTGTTTCAAATAATAATACATTTTATTGATCAACCTTTAGGCCATATCACAATACTAAACCAAACAACAAGGCTTGATAAGACTTGATTACACTCTATGCAGTAAGTTAAAATAAGACACTTATAACAATAGAGTAAATAAATATGATAAAACTGAATACAGTGTTCCCTCACTTATCACGAGTGTTACGTTCCAGGACCACCCATGGAAAGTTAAAATCCGCGAAGTAGGGATGCTATATATGTATATCGAGTTCTGAGGGTGAGGCAGAAGCGAGGGGAGGTTTAAAGGCACCACACACATTTTTTTTTCCTAGCTATCTCTGCTTTGCATTGCAGTCTCTCTTGATTGGCTGCCTCTCTCCCAAGGGGGAGGGTGAAACCCCCTTCCACACTCCATCATTGCCAGGAGGCGGGATTAGAACACTGCTCTGGGCAACGGCAACCATTCATAAACTGGGAGGCAAAAACCTGTGAAACAGCTAGTCCGCGAAAAGCGAACTGCGAAGTAGTGAGGGAACACTGCATATACATCATATTTCCTTATCACCCCTACAATTTACCCCGATCAGTCAATTTACCTCATGTTGTTGTTTATTTGTTCAGCACTTCCAACTCTTCTATCCCATATGATGGAGGAAAGGGTGCAGGACAACATATGTTGCTGCCCTTTCTCCCATATGATGGGGATGGGAATGGGGTGCTAACATGCCCTCTCCTTTCCCCACCATGTAATGGGGAAAGGAAGGAGGGTGCCCGGGGCACCCCGAGGCACCCCACACACTTTCCCTCTTGCTGGCAACTACCAGCACAGTGGTATGGCCCCCCTGGGCCAAGTGAAGAGGCTCCAAGGAAATCCTCCAAGTGATCTTGTAGAAGTATCAATATTGCAATACATTGTAATAGTATTATGATTTCACTTGTATGCTACTTTCTCTTAACAAAGACATAATGATAAACAATGCAATATGCAATATAAAACCTGAAGATTATAAACATCAATACACAATTAAACCAATGGCAAGGCGGGAAGATAATGGAATAGCTGCAGTGGTGTTTTTTTTCACTCTCAGCGTCTCCTGTTTTTTCTAATTTTTGAGATGCACAAATGAAGAGGAATATTGACAGCAGTCTGATAAGTTTATAAGTTACTCTTGTCATAAGTAGAGCTTTGAACCTAACCAGCAACATTATTACTAATCAACTCTGAAGAGCAAAAGAGGTGGGAGTGAGAAAGCTAACTAAACCAATTATTATTTTAAAATAAGTTTAGAACATTGAAAACCTATTTAAAACATAAAACACCCCACCCCATCTCCAAATCCTACAGGAATGTAATGTGGTCTATTTGTGTTGCTTTAACTGAAGGCCAACGAGAAAGATGTATGTGTTTCTAAACTAACCTAACTGGTCATTGTGCAAAACTCATAATTAAATGAAATAGGAACATATGGGGCAAGAGACCACTTACACTGTATTGGTGTTGGTTGTTAATAACCTTTTACAGGTTAAGATGCCAGGGGCAGCTGTTTCAATAGCAAGATCCAACCATGATTATGGATCCAGCAACTACATGCAAGACTAAGTTGACATTAATGCACATTTCCCTCGGGGAAGTTAATTCAACCCAACACTATGGTATACAAAAGCACCGAGGCAGAAACCCAGTGAAAATGTGCATTGACCAGAGGCACTTACACTTTGTTAATGTCACTGGAGTTTTTCAACAGAATTGCAATCTGACATACAAGGCATACTTTTAGCATCAGTTTCAAGTATGTCTACAACAAATGTAAAAAGAAAAAAAACGGTGTTCTCTACAGGGGGGACTAACAATTTCGTAACCCTTTTAGAGCTATGATTTTTGCATGTCTACATGCAAAAAACATGTAAAGAGGTTTTATAACCTGTTAACTTCAACAATAATGGGAGTCTTGTATAAAATTATAAATCACTCCACCTATTTATTTATTTATTTATTTATTTATCAATGCGCTTGTATACCGCTAATATCTCAGCCTAAATCGGCGACTCATTGCGGTTTACAACAATTAAAAAACAATATTCAGTTTAAAAGCATAAAACACATATATATATTCTGCAAAGGGGATGATTTGTAGTCATGGGTTACCATTTCATCTGTTTATTTCGTGTTTTCATTCTGTTTCATTTGGGTTACACAAAATGGTTCAACCCCTCACGGTACAAAAATAATAGTGAAATGAAAAAGAAAGTCGTAACAGTAACCATATGGTCACCTGCTTTTTGGGCCACATATCATGATCCAGGGAGTATTTCCGTGTTGCTTTACCTCTGAGCCCAGTTGGGCCAATCAGAGGAGAAGAATTTAGTGACGTGGGCATGCATTGCTCAGGGTATTTATTGGGCAACTGCCCTCAAAGTGCTCATTGCATGGTGCACGTCTGTCGGTGCTGGAGTTCACTCCTGTGCCTGCTTGCCTTGCTGCCAGCAAGCCACTGATTTTGCTTTAGCTTGGCTGCTTGTGCTTGGCTTCTGGCATCTTTTTGATCTCTTTATTTTGATTTCTTTATTTTTGTTTTTATTAAAAGGGGCTGGGAGTTTTGAATGGGTGGGAGTGCGTTGCACTGGACATTGCCCCCTGGCATC